CATCACCTACCTAAATGCATCGCTGCAATAACGGGCAAGGAGACTGAGAAGCACTCTCAGCCAGCAAAGTGGCTTGACAGGCATCCTCAAAAATTACCTTCCATTATTGAACTCCTTGTAAAGAACATGGAGACGTTGAGAAGAACTTCGCTGGCCAAAGAATATTTCCTATATCTCCCATACCAAAAGTTACATCAAAATAGGTGGCAAAATGGGCGGATCAAATGATCAATTTCTATGGAAGACGAAAATTTTGGATCGATCGTTGAGATGTCAAACGATGGCAGCAAATTAGTTTTTGAAGAAAAGAATGAAAATGAAAATGAAAAGTGTGAAATATACGTGCATTTATAGGGGCGTGAAGGTGAAGAGACAGAATATGAACAGCCACATTCGTGCCTAGTAATTGAAGTCAAGTGGCCCAAAGTCTTGGGAAAAGAGATAGAAATACCAAAAGAGAATGTACATGAATCTTATCATAAAGCAGTTAAATACTTGGGGGGTTGACGATTAAGGACAAACGTCAATAAATACACAAGAAGACAAATTAGTCATTCATTAATGACAATGGCTGCTGTTACATTCAAAATTGGCAATGGATATCAGTACGAGGTTACAAGAGGAAAGTTAATACGAAGTTATAAAAAGAAAAGTTAAGGCATTGGATGTCTTAATTACAGTTCGCCCCAGACTGAACGAATTCTTTCCCTAAGTCTCCCCCAATCCTCGCTCCGCTGAGAAGAAGTGACATTCAATTCGACTACAAAATCATCATCAACCTCTAGCTTTTTGTACTGCTCGACCAAGGACTTGGTTCGCTCAATTCCTTGGGAAGCATTACGTTTTTTAGCAGCCATTCTCGCCTTGCAGTCATCCATCCTTGCTTGAAGCTCCTTCATCTGTGCAGCCAAACTGGTCATCAAAGAGTCTTCAATCATAACTTCGAAAGAGATTTCTTTCAATTCGTCCTCAGCTTTGTTGATCTCCAGAAGCAAAGACTCTCTTTTAGATGCAGCACGAAGATATTGAGTACTCTTAGCCTTCAGTTCAACATTTTTTGGCTACCAAAGAGAGGATGTCAGAGTGGACAACTTTCAACGTCGCTTTAAAATCAGCAAAAATATTCAGCGACGGAAGTGTCAGTGCTTACGCCAACTTCGCACTCAAATGCTCAAGCTTATCCCTTATGTTTGGCAGCCCTAGCCTAATCGATGTCCATATCCATAAAAGATACATACTCAAATATCGACTATTTGAGGAACTTCATATATTCCTTTGAAGAAGCAGAAGGACGACCGGTTGAAGTAGGGCGAGACGTCTTGACTTGCCCCCAGGGAGTGAACAAGTCCTGGATGGAACGCACAATCTCATCAGCATCCTGCAAAGAAAAATGCCAACATTAAAGGTTTTCACTACAATAAACAAAGTGAAAATAAAAGTGAAGCAAAAGGTTACCTCATCAGCAATCTTAGGAGGTGGCATATCACCAGTTGGCTCCACCACCTGTGGAGACTTTCCCTTGTCTGGGCGAGAAGACTCTGCCACAACGGGCAGACCCATAGGAGCTTTGCATGATTAAATAAGCAACAAATCAGAAATCAATAGCACAAGCAAAGGTAAAACATCATAAAATGTATTACCTTCTGGTTCAACGTTTGGGGGGTCGGCGCCCTGGGAAGAAGGTGGCTCGTCCATTGGTTGTGATAAAGGTTCCGGGACTGAAGGTTTCTCTTTAAGCGTAGTCCCTTCATCAGCGGGTTTGGACAAAGCAGCTCTAGCAGAGGATGATGGAGCAGGAGCTGCCAACACCAAAGCCTTCAAAGGAGAGGCTGAACTTTTCTGAGAAATTCAAGAAAACCATTAGCACATAGAAATGTATGCTTGTGAGTAAACAGAATTCAATTACCTTTCTCCTGACGATGAGAGGAGTGTCATCATCATCATCATCATCCTCCAAAATGGGAGATACAGAAGCTGGCCGTTTGTAGCTTGGGGCACTATTAGTTGCAGTAGGTTTGGCAGGTAGAGAAGTAGAGGGACGAACAGATTGTTTAGCGCGAGCAGGAGAGGAATGATTCCTAATGGACATAGAGGTGACCAAAATAGGAGAAGTGGAAGGAATGTTTGGCTGATCCAGTGAATGGAAAGCACGATTGGCATCAGTTGCAAACAATCTGTGCTTCTCTGATGGCCAGAGTTGTTCAAAAAGGGGGTGAATGACACGGCTAGGATTGAAGGGGGCTAATGAAAAGTTACTCGTCAAAAGAATATTGAAAGCATCTATAGCTTGTGCCTCTGCCTTATTAATGGTGTGAAAGCGGTCTATCAAATTTTTTGAATAACAAGGGGGGAATAGGCCAAGTTTGGCCAAAATCAAATTGGCGAGCAAAAAATTGGAGAGCATATATTTCAACCCTAGCTTTGACATTGATTCCAGTTAAAATATCATGGAACAACTCCCTCCCAATCAAAAACTGAACCCAAACGAGCAGAGAGGCACTCGCACTGTCTAGGGTGGATGGATGTTGCACATAATCTGAAGTTAAATGAGCAGGAAAGGGAAAGAAGGAAGGAATTGAATTTAAAGTATAAAAGAATGAAAAAATGTCCCTTCTGGACATATTTACAGGGCTCAATGGGTCAATGGCTAGCCCATAACAGCTAGCGGAACGAAGGGACATGGATAGAGCACCAAATGATGGAAAATAGGCTCTCAACCACAGTTGAGTGAACCAAAGAGACCCACTGCCAGTGGGAAATACACCATTCTTCAATTGAAATCGAAAAGAAGCCATGCCTCTATAGAGGCCAGCCAAAAAGAAGGAACACAAATTCAAAGGCCTACCACGTGCCAATTCGTGCGCTATGGGTAAATATCTCATAGAAGGCTTTATACTGGGCACACAGAATATATTTACAAAGTCAAATATGAAGAAAGGCCACACGCTCAGCGTGGGAAAGCTCAGCGTTTGAGTGATTATAACAGCCTTACAGTCTTGAATAAGACTCGATGAGTTTTTTATCAAATTTTGGGGTAACACCGAAAATCAAAATACTAGAGAAAATAGTGTCGCCCAAAGGTGGAAGATTTATCGGGGCCCCAACATCCCTTAAAGTAATAGACATGGGACCAAGAGGGAAAAAAAAGTATTATATTCAAAAGACCAAAAACTTAAAGTAATAGGAAAAAGTGTTGGGTCAAAAATTGGGGGTTGAAGAGAGATTTCTAATAAATCAGAAATCCTAGCACGATCAAAAATTGCCTTGGTAGGACCATGACCTCCAAGGTGAGCATGCCATCTACGGAAAACAACATCAGATTTAACCCAAGCGCGAATACCTTTTTCGCAAATCGGCCTCAGCGGCAAAGAGCTCAGGAATGGAGGGCTTTGGGTATAAGGGAACAGCTGGCCCACCGCCACTTGTTCGACGGCTTCAGCGTTGTTAAATGAAGGACCCAGATAGAACTCATTAAGTTCGACATTGGTTGGTGCAAGGAAGTTCAGATTTACATATGGCCGAGTGAGGATTTTCTAGAAATCTTCGAAGCTAAAAGAGTCGTCAGATTGGGTTTGTGGAGCAGCCATTGAGGACGAAATACAGTTTTGTTAAAGTTTGCTTGAAAAACGTAGCAGAGAAGCAAGAAGATGAACAATGGTATGGCGAGAAAGAAGCGCGAAATAATGAAGTGTGATTACTGGTACAATGAAATGGCGTGTCTTTGGGGTTTATAAGGGTTTGTAGCGTCGCACTTTTTCAGGTTATGGAAGGAAATAATGATTGAAATTCTTGGGAATTTCAAATGTTGTTGGGAAACACAAAGTAAATATGGCAAAGATTAATAATTGGTATTAATTCTACCATATTGGGGGGTAATTGTTGGCACACTAAAAGTGCATGTCAAATCGAATAGCCCAAGGAATGAAGTCCAATTGGGGAATTCCCAAATCAAATAGCCCAAAGAATGAAGTCCAACTGGGCAATTCAGGATAAAGGCCCAGGTAAGGTTATTAATGAATGCAGTGGAAGCCCACGAATAAGGTAACATCATCGTCCAAGCTTGCAAGACGCCCAAGATCTGAGCGAATGAAGTGCCTTACAGTCGCCCAGAGCTATGACCCTGTTCTCGCCCAAACCTTCGAATCGCCCAGGATCTTAGCAAACATAAGATGTTATGGTTATCCAGAAGTGCAGTTATTGAAGCAGTTATTGAGTAACCTTATCACGTTCCACGATTGAAGGAGTTCGGTTGAAGACGGTTGAACGACAAAGAGTAGTGGCAGCAGTTAGAGACGGCAGTTCCACGACAAGTTAGCCACCATAAAGAAAGTGGGTAGTTATAAAGCAATCAAACAGTTTCTAAGCGATTGATCACGAAGAAATCATCAAGGGAATATAAAAGGAAGAGAAGACATGGAGCAAATGACCCCGAATCAAACACTCTCAAACAGAGAATATGTAATTTCAATTTCTTAGTTTAGACTTAAACATTTCTTTTCAGTACTCGTGTGCTTGTGCTCGTTTATCATGCAAACAATTGCGGCAATTTTTTGTATTATTTTTTTGGACATAATTTGCTTATCATATTTTATTTCCATTTAAATTTTATCTCCAATTTATGTTTTACTTCTATATTTTATGCTGATTAAATAAATTTCATATGTAAGTAAGAATGCATTAAGAAATTATGTTGGAGTTGGCACTTAATCCTTTTTGTGGTTTGGAAAACAGAAGGGGTTATGGGGAGGAGAATGATTATTTGGCTGCGGAGCAGATTGAAATTTGAGGGAAAATTATATTATTCTTCTCTGTAAAATTTGCCCACAATAGAGAATCATGTAAAATATTCACTGCTTAGATTATGTTATCGCCTATCACTCATTCTCCTTGTTCCATTTGATTTTGAGTTTTTGCTCCTTTTTTGTCACTGCTTCGGAGACACATTTGGTAATCCTTTCATTTACTACACAGGTAATTGTTTCTAAGTACAATTAAGAAGAATGGAACATGCTGAGGATATTGTTGGTGAACATCGGGAGAAACATGATGATGAGGTGGTATGCTGTAGAGTTTTCCTTTTTTTTTTTTTAAAAGCATATAATCATATCTGTTTAGTGTGAGTTAATTAATGAACGTTGGTAATGTTGTTCTTGGCTATTTAATTAACTTGGTAATAGGTTCAACGTCTTTGAGATGCTACTGTCATACTGCATATTTGTTTTTTGTGTACTCAATTAGTATAAGTTATTGAAGGAAGATAAGCTTGTTCTTGGCCATTTATTCACTTGGTAATAATTTTTATATCATTGAGATGTTGTTAGCAGTGTATGTGGCATTGTTCCCAGATTTTCTTTATTGAAATGGTGTATTTGGTAACTATCAACTTGTTTCTGTTAGACAAGACGCTTATTTTCTTCTGTCAGCGATGGGTTTTCCCTCTCCAATGAACTGTATAGAGAGTGAGAATGAAGTTTATGTAGTGCCTATGTTAGCATTTTTAAGAGTCTAAGAACTCGAGAAAATGACATGCGATACACATTTTTGGTGTAGGAAGCTGTTGCTCGTCTTGAGGAATTTAAGAAGTCTGTTGAAGCAAAAACGGTGCTACGTGACTACGTCAGAGTAATTTGAACCCTGAAAGGCCTGGTCAGTGGTTTCTTTCAGAGATTTTAAGCTGTCACTTTTAGAAAACTGAACTGAGGTGTTTTCTCTTCTCTTTGATGGTCTTAGGGAGTAGCATCTGGATGTTTCGAATCGAAGCTTAGGGCTAACTTTTTTGGGTGTTGAACTTCATAAATTGCAATCTTCTAGGAATTGTGATCCCAGATCGTTACAAAAAATTTTAAATTTATTTGTGGTTCTGCAATAAGGACTCTGCTGTTTCTTTTTGAATGCCTGCTTCTAGAACCTATGTATTCTCTTGGGAGTTCTCCTGTCTCAGAAAGGACGATTGTAACCTTCGCACTGTTTTCCATTTCTATTTTAGCTCCTAAGTACAAATTATATCTATATAAATGCCCAATGCAAACAATCAGAGGCATTAATAAGTGTTCTAGTGCTAAGCCTTTGTGCTCTGATGAGCTTCCACGTTGAATATGATTTTAGAAAATTGTCCAATATCAAAGGATTTTAATCTTGATTCCGACATATTAAAGGTTAGTGTTGCATATGATATCCTCTTACTTGATTATTGATTCTGCCCTTCTTGATTCCAGATTCAGGTTTTCTCAGGACATTGGATTCTAGCATTAAGCGCAACACGGCTGTTATAAAAAAACTAAAGCAGATAAATGAGGAGCAGCGAGAAGGTATGATGGATGAGTTGTGCGGTGTTAACCTAAGCAAATTTGTTAGTGAGGCAGTAACTTCAATTTGTGATGCGAAGCTTAAAGCTGCAGACATACAAGCTGCTGTTCAGGTAGAGCTAGTGATTGAGTTGATTATTTTTTCAACTGCTTGTCAAGCTGGAAAGAATAAACAATTAAAAGTGTGGCAGGAATAGGCTTGAAGCTTTAAAGGAAATGCACCGGCAGTGCCTCTAATGCATTGACTATGTAATACCATGATGAAATTCTGATTATTTTAGTAGAACTGTTTTAGTATGCTAAACCATGGTTTATTCCTGCTTATATGCTCTCTTATTCTCTGCATTTCAAGTACACGGACTAACTCTCTTATTCTCTGCATTTCAAGTGCACGGACTAACTTGTTTGCCGCAATTAGGACCTGCCGGTTCTGAGTTCTACTTGAAGGTTTGTTATATTGTAGTCAGCTTTTTGTGTTGTGCATAAAAAACAATCAATCAATCCCTTGTATATATTGGACTTGATACTATTCTACTAAACAGGCAACAAAACTCATCCCAATCCTCAAAATGCGGATATTTGGGGGATATTCTGACACTGTAATTTTTGTGTCAAAGTCAAAATGTTTTGCCTATAGTTCTTGTTACCATCCTTCGTATCATTATCCTCATTAAAGACTAGCTTGTGATTTTGTTGTGGCTGATTTTGAATATTTTTTTTTTCCCCTCTGGTCGTGTCCAGTTGGCACTGAAGTAAATGAAACTATTGACACACTAAAAGTGCAGCCCAAATCGAATAGCCTAAAGAATGAAACCCAATTAGGGAATCCCCAAATCAAATAACCCAAAGAATGAAGCCCAACTGGGAAATTCAGAATAAAAGCCCAAATAGGGTTACTAATGAATGCAGTGGAGGCCCACGAACACGGTAACACCATCGTCCAAGTTTGCAAGACGCCCCAAGATCTGAGCGAATGAAGTGCCTTACAGTCGACCAGAGTTATGACACTGCTCTCGCCCAAACCTTCGAATCGCCCAGGATCTTAGCAAATATAAGATGTTATGGTTACCCAGAAGTGCAATTAGTGAAGCAGTTATCAAATAACATTATCACGTTCCACGATTCGAGGAGTTCAGTTGAAGACGGTTGCACGACAAAGAGTAGTGGCAGCAGTTAGAGACGGCAGTTCCACGACACGATAGCCACCATAAAGGAAGTGGGTAGTTATAAAACAATCAAACAGTTTCTAAGTGGTTGATCACGAAGAAATAATCAAGAGAATATAAAAGGAAGAGAAGTCATAGAGCAAAAGACCCCGAATCAAACACTCTCAAACAGAGAATATGTAATTTCAATTTCTTAGTTTAGACTTAAACATTTCTTTTCAGTACTCGTGTGCGTGCGCCCCTTGGAGGCATTCTGTTTAGTTTCAATTGTAAAGTTATCGCCAATAAAACACTCCTTTTTGAAATTTTGTCTCAAGAGATTTGTTCCTCACACAATCGTCTGATCCCTTTTTAATTTTTAGCGACTACCCGCGCGAAACAATTTGGCACGCCCAGTGGGACATTGGTGTTTGGTGTTGGAGATACAAAAGGTGAAACAATATGCCTCAGAAATCTGATAAGGAAGCAAGTCAGGAAGGAGTCCAGTCTGTGATCGAGCGATATGAGAAGTATTATAGCTCTCCACGAACAGATGGACAGAATCATAGCAGTCATAGTTGTTACGAACCAATGACAGAGTTGAGTCCTCGAACTATGCGTGCATTACTTGGAGAACTCATACAGAATGTCGTTGAACAGGTAAATCTACAAAATATTCATAATATGGAAAGACTTACTCAGAATGGGAATGCACACTATGATAACATGGTCAAACAACTGAATACTTTGAATGAAATAATAAATAAGTCAGTAGGCCAAATTTGTCAGCCAGTCGTGCCTCTTGCAAATCACTTCCAAACTAGGACAATCGTGGGACATAATCCCCCAATCCTAAGTCCAAATCAAGGGGTAGAATCACCTTTTGGTCCCTCTACTTCAAACCAGGGGATGGTATAATACCAAATCAGAATGGTGGAAATGGTACATCTAACTTAGGGGTAACTTAAGCGTAAGAGACAATGTCCTAAATAATGGACAGAATGCCCCACGTATTAATGATGGGGTAAATATTCAGGTTAATGATAACAATGGCCCAAATCATGGCAACTTTGTTGCCAACTAAGGACCAAATATCAGGCCTCAAGCAAATCAACTGGTCAACCAACCTGTAGGAATTCCATATGACCCCAACGTCATGTTGAGGAATCAAATTATGGAAATAGTATAGGATCAGATGGCTTTTAGGATACGTCCTGTCATTAGGCCGACTTATACAAAGTCATATCCTGATTAGGTAGACCAAACATATCCATGGCCTAGAGGGTATAAAGTGCCAAAATTCTCACTATTTACCGGTTTGGAAGAGGTGTCTACTCTAGAACACATAGGGCGATTCACACTGCAAAGTGGTGATGTAATTGATTACCATAAAATGAGGCTGTTCCCAGTTCATTAACAGGAGTAGCCTTCTCCTGGTTCATTAATTTGCCAGCGAACTCTGTTCAAACATGGCAACAATTGGAACAATTGTTCCACGCTCAGTTTTATAAGACCGAGTCCGAAGTTACTTTGACCGATTTGGCGAATCTACGTCAAATGTCAAACGAATGGGCAGAAGGTTTCCTTCAAATGTTCAAGACAGCAAGAAGTAAATATTTTGTACCTTTGCCCGAAAAGGAGTTTGTCAAAATCGCTCAAGGTTGTCTAAGCTTTGATTTGAAAAAGAAGTTCCAAGACAAGGAATTTCTCGATCTTTTCCAATTGAGCGCGACCGTGATTAGGTATGAACGATTAATAAGAGAAGAAGAGCAAATGAAAAATTCTAGCAAAGGGACTTATTATAAAGACCCAAATTTTGATGTTTATACCATTAATGACGAGTATTATGATCAAACCGAAATATTTTTGACCGAACTAATCGAAGGAGACACGTATGCTTGTCCTATGATGGCTAAGTTTAGACCGTCGAGCAAGGATGAGCCTATAAAAGATGAAAACAAAAAGGCTAGAACGTTCTCGTTCGATGTAACCAAAGCTGACCTTACATTTGATAAACTATATAAGGATAAGCAGATAAAGCTGAGCGATAAACAAAGATTGCCAAGCCCTGAACAAGTTAAGGGTAAAAAGTATTGTAAGTGGCATAATGCATGGTCACATTTGACTAATAATTGTTTGGTTTTTCGCCATGTGTTACAGGATGCTATTGAGTCAGGACGAATTACGTTCAAAGATAAGAGGAAGATGGCAGTGGATGAAAACCCTTTTCCACAGCCACTTGGGGTAAACATGGTGACGACTGGTTTCAAAAACAAGTTACCAAAATTCAAGTTAGTTATAGATGACGGGGAAGAGGACCCTTGACCACATCCCAGTGTCTTTGAACGTATCAAAGGGAAAGAGCCTGAAAAGGATGAAGACGTCCTATGTGCAAGATGTAAAAGAGAAGTGAGTGGGAATACAGAGAAATCAAGGATATGGCAGCATCACCGTCGCCCTAGTTTTTTCCCAAACGCTCAGCCTGGTAAAGGGCGAGGTACATCGTTCTATAGGGGACTACCTTTTGAGAGGCAGTTCAGGCCGGTGAATAATGGGAGAACATTCAGGCCACAGCCTCGCCAACCAAATGTATGGCATTCGTTCCAGTACAATGCAGGAAGGGCGATACCTTTCAACGAGATAACTAGAACCCAACAAAGGTGTTTTCAACGGAACTATGGACGAATGATGAGGCAACAACAGGGAGTGCCACGTCCTAAGGCGCCTAAGCTACTCGAGGTGGCCAATCAAAATATTCTCGAAGACAGTGAGGAGACTGGTACAGGCGAATTGATGAAAGAATTGTCAGAAAGTTCTTCTGGGAGGTCGAAGTCTGAGCGAGACAGAAGAGATGGAGAAGATCCAGATCAATCCCTTACTATTCAGTTCGGTACGTTACCTCCTGTCATGGCTAATAACTATTTGCTAGCCAATGAGTTCAAGAATAAAGAGAAAGAGAAAGAAGAAGAAGAGTGGGAGGATAACGAAGAAGAAGCGTGCGTGCTGGAATATGAAGAAGGCCAAACTTCTAGAGGGGCCTACAATGATGAAGGAGATGATGGTATGACGGATATCGAAGAGGAAATTGATTTAGAAGCAGAAAGAAGAAAAAGAGGAGTATCGTACAATACTCTGTTGAAGCAACTACATTGAGAGGGGGTTCGTGAAGTGGACTTGTTGGGGGAACCGTCTGGGCATTCTTTCGATTATTACGTGCTGTACGGGACGCCCAATAGGAAAAGGAGAGTTCCTCGCTCTGAAAAGTATGGATCACCTCCAAGAATAATGCCTCCTCCCACAGGTTGGGTAACTGAAGAAGAAGCATTAGAAAACAGTAAAAAGGAAATGCAGGAAACGGAAGCTCAGTACGACATGCTGCACGTTGACTTATCACAAAAGGATAGCTCGACAGAGGACAAGCAGGAAGTGGAAATAGATGCAGTCGAAAAGGTTATTTTTAAGCAGCCAGCCATGAAGTTAACTAAACAGTTGAGGCCATTGTACGTTAAAACTCTAGTTAATGGATGACATACCTGTGGTAAAAGTGTTTGTCGACAGTGGAGCAGCTATAAACACCATTCCATCTAGGATGATGAGGAAATTTGTAAAGATAGAAAGTGATATGATCCCAACAGAAGTCATCCTTACGAGTTTCAATGGAGGAGCAACTTCAGTTAAAGGGTTTATGCCATTGGACATAACTATAGGGACAACTACTAGGACCACAGTGTTCTTTGTAATAGATGGTCCTACTAGTTACAATGTATTATTAGGAAGGGATTGGATACACGGAAGTCGCTGTATACCCTCATCGCTCCATCAATGCCTGATTTTTTGGAATGACAAAGGCGAAGCAGAAGTGGTGCAAGCCGATCATAGACCTTTTGTCGCAGAAGCAAACTCAGTAGAAAGGTTCATGTACGAAGGAAATTATGGACCTATCAGAGTAGTCCAAAATGGAGAAGAAACTCAAATTGTCGCGCAGAGTAAAGAGCCATTTTCAATGGATGCACTCACTGAAATGTTCAGTCAGATGAGACCAAACATAGTGGCCCTAGAGGAGCCAGTAATTGGCAAAAGAGTAATCAAGGAGTTTTAAATGAGTTGCAAGCAACAAAGGCAAATGACCGATATTCAGGCCTTCAAAGCCAAATTAATGGCTTTCAATAAAGAATGCAAGGACAAGATGAAAGAAGAAGCAGCTTTGAAAGCATTGAGAGACAAATTGGCAGTGTTCGAGTTGGAACAAAGTATTGGCCGAGAAGTCAACAAAGTGGATTGTTTAGAAGAAGAAGTGCCAACAAGGGAATTGGACGATGAAGTGATGAGGATCGCCAAGCCTGGATACGCTCAAGCACAAGATCCTCTGATTAATGTGAATATTGGCAATGAAGGAGAAGATCGCCCAATATTCATCAGTCAAATGCTCGATCAAGAGGTTAGTGATAAATTAATCGTTTTACTAAAGGAATATAAAGATTGTTTTGCTTGGGAATATGAACATATGCTTGGTTTAAATAGAGATTTGGTGGAACATAGGTTGCCAACCAAGTTAAATTTTAAACCTCATAAGCAACCTCCTAGGCGTTTTGCTCCTAATGTACTTCCTCAGATCAAGAAAGAAATAGAGCGATTATAAAGGCAGGCTTTATTAGAACAGCTAGATATGTGAATTGGTTGTCCAATATCGTGCCAGTGCTAAAAAAGAATGGTAAATTAAGGGTGTGCATAGACTTTAGGAATTTAAACATGGCCACACCCAAAGATGAATATCCAATGCCTACGGTAGATTCTGTAGTAGACTTGACTGCCGGACACGTAATATATTCCTTCATGGACGGGTATTCAGGATACAATCAAATTCATATAGTTGAGGAAGATATACACAAAACTGCCTTTAGATGCCCAGGGTCTCTAGGATGTTTTGAATGGGTAGTTATGCCTTTCGGCCTGAAAAATGCAGAAACAACTTATCAAAGGGCGATGAACCTGATTTTTCATGATATGATAGACAAGTTTGTTGAAGTGTATGTAGATGATATAGTGGTCAAATCCATTAAAGAAGAAGACCATTTTGAACAATTGAGATGTTCATTTGAGCGAATGAAGCAATATAAACTAAAATTGAATCCCTTGAAATGTGCATTTGGTGTTAATGCAGGAAACTTCCTTGGTTTCTTAGTACACAAAAGGGGGATTGAACTTGATAAAAATAAAGCAAAGGCCATTTTAGAGGTCAAACCACCTAGCAACAAAAAAGAATTGCAAAGGCTTCTAGGCCAAGTAAACTTTTTAAGACGCTTTATTTCTAACTGTGCAGGGCGAACTAAAGCTTTTTTGCCGCTTTTAAAGTTGAAAAATCAGGACGAATTCGTCTGGAAGGAAGAACATCAAAAGACTTTCGAAAACCTAAAGACATATTTATCAAGTCCACCAGTGTTGGTGTCACCAATCCAAGGATGGCCAATGAAAGTGTATGTATCGGCTGAAAAAGAATCAATTGCTGGAATGGTCGCGCAAGAAGACTAATTTGGTGAAGAAATGGCGATTTACTACTTGAGTAGACGGTTAACAAAATGTGAATGTAATTACTCTGCCATTGAAAAATTATGCCTTGCATTGTATTTCACATGTACAAAATTAAGGGCTTGTTTACGGTCCGTAACCGTTTATTTGATTTCCAAAGTAAATTTGGTTAAGTATATGTTATCTCGCCCTATTTTACACCAAAGGGTAGGCCTTTGGACGTTACCATTATCAGAATTCGAAATACAATACATACCCCAAAAGGCAATCAAAAATCAAGCTTTGGCTAATTTCTGGCCGATCATCCATGCCTTGACATGCCTAAAGAAATTGAATTAGAAATCAATTCATTCGAATTAAAACCTTGGGTTTTGTATTTCGATTGGTCAAAAACCTCTAAAGGTACAGGAATAAGAGTAGCATTGATAAACCCTTTAGGGATTTGCTACAAGTTCGCATTCACTTTGGATAGGATGTGCACCAACAATCAAGCTGAATATGAAACCTTAATCGTGGGTCTAGAATTAATGATAGATATGGAAGTAAAGAATGTGATCGTTAGAGACGATTCTCAATTGGTCATTCACCAATTGATTGGTGATTTTAAGTGTCAAAGTGATTCCATTATAAGTCTATACGAAATCGCCCAAGAGTTGTTGGAAGAATTCGACCAAGTAGAGCTTCAATGCGTTAATATGATATCTAATGACATGGCAAATGAGTTAGCTCAGATGGCCTCAGGGTACTCGAAGGTTTTAAATTGGAAGTCTACTTATGAGTAACGAACAATATTGCCCGTAGTCCAAAGTTGCATACAAGATGGAGATGCAATAGATTGGAGGGCAGAGATTAAAAGGTTCCTTAAAGAACCTAGTAAAGGATATGGTAAAAAAATGAAGTTGTGTTTGCTAAACTATACACTGATAGATGAAGAGTTGTTTAAGAAACGCTTTGATGGTATATTGCTAAAATGTGTAAGTTTGCAAGAAGTCAGGACGATCATGACTGAAGTGCACGAAGGGACATAGATAGAGCACCAAGTGATGGAAAATAAGCTCTCAACCACAGTTGAGCGAACCAAAGAGGCCCACTGCCAGTGGGAGATGCACCATTCTTCAATTGAAATTGAAGAGAAGCCATGCCTATATAGAGGGCAGCCAAAAAGAAGGAACACAAATTCAAAGGCCTACCATCCGCCAATTCGTGCGTTATGGGTAAATAGCTCATAGAAGGCTTCAAACTGGGCACACACAGAATATATTTACAAAGTCATATCTGAAAAAAGGCCACACGCTCAGTGTGGGAAGGCTCAGCGCTTGAGTGATTATGGCAACTTTGCAAGCTCGAATAGGACTTGGTGAGTTTTTTGTCAAATTTTGGGACAACACCAGAAATCAAAATATCAGGGAAAATGGTGTCGCCCAAAGGTGGAAGATTTATCAGGGCCCCAATATCCCTTAAAGTTATTGACAGGGGATCAAGAGGGAAAACAAAAGTATTATATTCAAAAGACCAAAAACTTAAAGCAATAGGAAAAAGTGTTGGGTCAAAAATTGGGGGTTGAAGAGAGATTTTTAATAAATCAGAAATCCTAGCATGATCAAAAATTGCCTTGGTAGGACCATGGCCCACAAGGCGAGCATGCCATCTACGAAAAATAACATCAGATTTAGGCTAAGTGCGAATACCTTTTTCGCGAATAGGCCTCAGCGACAAAGAGTTCAAGAATATGGAGGGCCTTGAGTACAAGGAAAAAGCTGGCCCACCGCCACTTGTTCGACGGCTTTGGCTTTGGTGAATGAAGGACCCAGATAGAACTCATTAAGTTCGGCATTGGCTGGTGCAAGAAAGTTCGGATTTACATATGGCCGAGTGAGGATTTTCTAGAAATCATCGAAGCTAAAAGAGTCGTCAGATTGGATTTGTGAAGCAGCCATTGGGAACGAAATATAGTTTTGTTAAGGTTTGCTCGAGAAACGTAGCAGAGAAGCAAGAAGATGAATAGTGGTATGGCGAGAAAGAAGCGCGAAATAATGATACGTGAGTTAGTGGTACAACGAAATGGCGTGTCTTTGGGGTTTATAAGGGTTTATAGCGTCGCACTTTTTCAGGCTATGGAAGGAAATAATGATTGAAATTCTTGGAAATTTCAAATATTGCTCGGAAATACAAAGTAAATATGGCAAAGATTAATAATTGGAATTAATTATGCCATATTGGGGGGTAATTGTTGATACACTAAAAGTGCAGCCTAAACCGAATAGCCCAAGGAATGAAGCCCAATTAGGGAATCCCCAAATCAAATAACCTAAAGAATGAAATCCAACTGGGAAATTCAGGATAAAGGCCCAAATAGAGTTCCCAACTAGGGAATCCCCAAATCAAATAACCCAAAGAATGAAGCCCAACTGGGAAATTCAGGATAAAAGCCCAAATAGAGTTACTAATGAATGCAGTGGAGGCCCACGAACACGGTAACACCATCGCCCAAGTTTGTAAGACGCCCAAGATCTGAGCGAATGAAGTGTCTTACAGTTGCCCAGAGCTATGACCCTGCTCTCGCCCAAACCTTCGAATCGTCCAGGATCTTAGCAAACATAAGATATTATGGTTATCCAGAAGTAAAGTTATTGAAGCAGTTATCAAGCAACCTTATCATGTTCCACGATTCGAGGAGTTCAGTTGAAGACGGTTGAACGACAAAGAGTAGTGGCAGCAGTTAGAGACGACAGTTCCACAACACGATAGCCACCATAAAGGAAGTGAGTAGTTATAAAACAATCAAGCAGTTTCTAAGCGGTTGATCACGAAGAAATCATTAAGGGAATATAAAAGGAAGATAAGATATAGAGCAAAAGATCCCGAATCAAACACTCTCAAACAGAGAATATGTAATTTCAATTTCTTAGTTTAGACTTAAACATTTCTTTTCAGTACTCGTGTGCTTGCGCCTCTTGGAGGCATTCTGTTTAGTTCCAATTGTAAAGTCATCGCCAATAAAACACTCCTTTTTGGGACTTTGTCTCAAGAGATTTGTTTCTTACACAATCGTCTGATCCCTTTTTAATTTTTAACGACTACCCGCGCGAAACAGAAATCTTTGCTTGCAAGGAAAGAGAAAAATGGACCTTTTATTTATTGGAAGTATTGTAGTTATGTGAAATATTACCACGTGTATTACTTGCTCCTTGCTGTCCACCGTGTTTTAGATGCCTTTTCCATTATTTTTAGTAGATTCTCTCCTGTACCAGATCTGCTCTTTACTTCATCAAAGGTACAAAGACTTCTCTCCTAGTCTGGTTCGAGGTCTCTTGAAAACTTTCTTGCCTGGGAAGCCCCCTGAGGACATTGACGGAGACAAAAATTCAAGGGCCATGAAGAAGCAGAGCACTCTAAAACTTCTCTTGGAACTTTACTTTGTTGGAGTTGAAGAAGATAGCAGCATCTTTACAAATATAGTCCTTGTTTGAGCCTCATTTTTTCATTAAAATACGTTCTTCAAGAGTAATTTGACCCTATTTCCATCACACATTTTTCAATAAAATAATATTATACGCAAATCAAAAACTTTTTCTTATTTTTTAATCAAACATTTTCCATCAATACACTATTTAAAAATTCATTTTCTCCTCTAAAATGGGGCTCAAACAAGGGCATAGTTAAGGATCTCACTAGCACGGAACATTTTGAGGATCGTGATGCTACTCAGACTAATTTATCCCTGCTTGCTAGTTTTGCTCGACAAGGAAGATATCTTCTTGGACTGCCTCTGACTGGACAAGATATTCTGGAAGAGGTTTAACGTTTTTAATACTTTATTAGTGTGGGCTCTCATCGTGCATTTTTTAACGTATCATTTTCAATTTTTTCTTAGATCTCTTTTGCACATTTTCCTCTCGGTAGTTAGTGTGACCCTGAGCTGAACTGATTTAATTTCTGCACAACGGTTCATCAAAGCTGGAAATATAATTTTTGCTATCAAAATACAATGCGAGATGTTCCTCGACCTTTTAGGCATTTAAATTTCATCTAATGACAAGGAAATTTGTTTTATTCTCATGCTGTTGGTAGTAAAATTTCTGTGTCACTTGTTTTAGTGCATAATTGTTCCCCTGGCTCTTCTTTTAATAATATTTTTATTGGAAAAACATCAGTGCTATGGTTTATCTTCAAAAAGCAATGTTAGGCAGCATGAGTTTCAATTTTGAGTTTCTCATATTTTTTCTTTATTTAGATGCTCTTTTTTCACTGCTCATGCTAATGTTTTCTTTTTCTGCAGTTTTTCAAGGGACTTAATATTACAGCAGAGCAGAAAATGTTCTTCAGGAAAGCATTTCAAATGTACTATGATGCTGCTGTGGAACTACTTCAGGCAGAACATGCAGTAAGAGCTCTATTCCTTTACACAGCTGGATCTTGTGTTAGATTTGATTTCAAACTTATTTTAATGTTAGTTTTCTGCATCCTTAGTTATTTGGCTCTGAAGTTTAATTTACATGCATGCCGTAGTCTTTCACTGATGCAACTGTTTTCTTTTCTCCCAAATGGAAGTCACTTCGGCAAATGGAGCATGAAAATGCAAAGATTTTAAATGCTAAAGGTGAACTGAGCGAGGAAAATGCCACTTCTTATGAAAAGCTGAGAAAATCATACGAGCATCTGTATCGTGGTATCTCATCGTAAGTTACTTTTCCTATCTTCCTGGACTTATTTCTTAAGGTTGTTATACTGTGCTTGTGAACCTGATGCTTGTTGCTATTATGTGGATTATTTGAGACTAAATTTGCACGCGATTGCTATCTCTGTAAACGTGATACTCAGGGTGATTTGAGGTGTAAGCCTTACCATAAACCAAAAAATTAGGTTAAAAAAATAAATACATAAATAAAAATCTCGGTTTCTAAAGAGGTCCAAAAAAAAATAATAATAATAAATAAAAAAAATCTTGGTTGGTCACGAAATTATTTGTTTCGATTTAAAATCCACCGCAAGTGTACGATTCATTAACAAGTAGTAAAATGGACTATTAGTCTAAGTATTGATCCCACAAGGATTGAATTAGTTCAAATTAATCTATTATGACCTTAACCGAAATACGAAAATCAAATTGAGATTTTGTACTTTAACTAAAAATGTAACGCCCCGACCCCTAGTGAACCGGAACGCTACTTACTTTACTTAGCTTTACCAGTGGTTTAGTAACAAGTGTATACGTTTTAGCGGAAGTTTACATCTTCGGATAATAATTTAAATAACAATACTTCAAATACTTTAAACAAAAACACTGAATCATTTTTCAAAACAACAAAATGTAATTTATTTGAAGAAAACATAACTTGTTCTTACATTCTGCGTTATTCAAAACTTTAAAAAAATAACATTGGAAAACATTTCATAAAAATAAATCCAAATCACTTATTTACCGGATTTTCATGGGCTCGTTGCATCACTCCCATCTTCTCCTCCATCCATGCCCGAGGTAGAATTCCTTCAATCTGTAGAGATGGGGTTAAACTCGTGAGTTGAAAAACTCAATAGGTGTCATAGGTGCATTCGTGATCAAGCTATACATTTCAAAACATAAACTTTATAACTTTTCATACATGCCGTACCCGAAGGCACCATTTGACATGAAGAGGTATGCCGTACCTGAGGGCACCATTTGACATACAGACATTTCTTCAACATAGAGGGGTATGCCGTACCGAAATACCATTTGACATACAACCATTAACATAGATGGATATACCGTACCGGAGTACCATTTGACATACAAACATTAACATGAATTGAAACTTATAACTTAACACGATTAAACACATTGCACCTCTACCTACCTTGATTGATGTTTTTGAAACTTTGAAAACTTGGATTGAAAACTTCGATGAAATTTGGACGTTGAAAGAAATGCACTCCTTGGATGTTTGAAAACCGTTGAGAATTGATGCTTGAAAACATTTCTTAAACTTCTAGGAAAAATAGTTTTCCTCCCTCTCTTTTTCTCTCTTGGAAACTCTTTCTTTAGTATGTAAAAGGTCTTGCTTTTGGTGTGAGAAAAAATGAGTGAAATGAGGTCTCTATTTATAGGTAAATATCCCATAACTTAAAGCAAATGAAGGGTCAAATTTCATTTAAGAGAGAAAACATGGGTGTCATGCACTTCTGCACGTACAGCTCTATACTTCTTTTCATATTTTCTCTCTTAAATGAAATTTGACCCTTCATTTGTTTTAAGTTATGGGATATTTACCTATAAATAGAGACGTCATTTCGCTCATTTTTTCTCACACCAAAAGTAAGAGCGTTTACATATTAAAGAAAGAGTTTTCAAGAGAGAAAAAGAGAAGGAAGAAAACTATTTTTCCTAGAAGTTTAAGAAGTGTTTTCAAGCATCAATTCTCAACGGTTTTCAAACATTCAAAGAGTGCATTTCTTTCAACGTCCAAGTTTCATCGAAGTTTTCAAAGTTTCAAAAGTATCAATCAAGGTAGGTAGAGGTGCAATGTGTTTAATCATGTTAAGTTATAAGTTTCGATTCATGTTAATGTTTGTATGTCAAATGGTACTCCGGTACGGTATATCCCTCTATGTTAATGGTTGTATGTCAAATGGTACTCCGGTACGACATACCCCTCTATGTTGAAGAAATGTTCGTATGTCAAATGGTACCCTCGGGTACGGCATACCCTTCATGTCAAATGGTGCCTCCGGGTACGGCATGTATGAAAAGTTATAAAGTTAATGTTTTGAAATGTATAGCTTGATCACGAATGCACATATGACACCTATTGAGTTTTTCAACTCACGGGTTTAACCCCATCTCTACAGATTGAAGAAATTCTACCTCGAGCATGGATGAAGGAGAAGATGGAGAGTGATGCAACGAGCCCATGGAAATCCGGTGAATAAGTGATTTGGATTTATTTTTATGAAATGTTTTCCAATATTATTTCTTTTAAGTTTTGAGTAACGCAGAATGCGAGAATAAGTTATGTTTTCTTCAAATAAATTACATTTTGTTGTTTTGAAAAATGATTTAGTGTTTTTGTTTAAAGCATTTGAAGTATTGTTATTTAAATTATTATCCGAAGATGTAAGCTTCCGCTAAAACGTATACACTTGTTACTAAACCACCGGTTAAGCTAAGTAAAGTAAGTAGCGTTCCGGTCCATTAGGGGTCGGGGCGTTATAGCGGGATGTAGAACCCCAAATAATTCTAGACACCTTGGTGGCACTAAGACATGAATATTGGATGACGAAAGTATACTTCAAATTTTTAGTCTCATTTGATACCCATTTTCGACATAGGAAATATTCTATTTGGAAAATGATATCTAAATAAAAGTTGTAACTCTTTGAGTTAGCTTTCCAATGCACTTTGAATTATCTCAATCGGATAACGGGAGAGAAGTTATGATAAAAACACTGAAAGCTGTGCAGTGTCAATCGGACTACAACCGATCGATCGAAACTACCTGAAATGAAAATTCTAGTTTTTCTCTAGAGTTTAAATATTTATTTTCATCAATTATTTTCTCAAAGGGCCACCCACGTTTTTGCAATAAAAGCCCCACTAAATTGAAGCATTTAACCTCAAACTTAAATGGCACCCATTTTTTCTCTTTTAAATGAAATTTGACCCTTCATTTGTTTTAAGTTATGGGATATTTACCTATAAATAGAGACTTTATTTCACTCATTTTTCTCACACCAAAAGCAAGAGCTTTTAATACTAAAGAAAGAGTTTCCAAGAGAGAAAAAGAGAGGGAGGAAAACTATTTTTTCTAAAAGTTTAAGAAGTGTTTTCAAGCATCAATTCTCAACGATTTTCAAACATCCAAGGAGTGCATTTCTTTCAACGTCCAAGTTTCATCGAAATTTTCAATCCAAGTTTTCAAAGTTTCAAAAGCATCAATCAAGGTAGGTAGAGGTGCAATGTGTTTAATCGTGTTAAGTTATAAGTTTCGATTCATGTTAATGTTTGTATGTCAAATGGTACTCCAGTACGGCATATCCCTCTATGTTAATGGTTGTATGTCAAATGGTACTCTGGTACAGCATACCCCTTTATGTTGAAAAATGTTCGTATGTCAAATGGTACCCTCGGGTACAGCATACCCTTTCATGTCAAATGGTGCCTCCGGGTACGACATGTATGAAAAGTATTAAAGCTGCTAGACGAGCAGTGACTTGTCCTGGTGTGATTACCACTTCGATATGCAACTTTTCCAAGTCCTTGACTAACTCCACTTGAGAGGTGGGTAGTGACGTCAATTGTCCCATTGATTTTCTACTTAGAGCGTCGGCCACAGCATTAGCCTTACCCGAATGGTAGTGAATAGTGCAGTCGTAATCGTTCACCAATTCCAACCATCGTCTTTGTCGCATATTCAATTCCTTTTGTGTGAAGAAATACTTGAGACTTTTGTGATCTGTGTAGATATCACATTTCTGTCCATACAAGTAGTGTCGCCATATCTTTAAAGCGTGTACTACCGCTGCAAGTTCTAAATCATGCGTCTGGTAGTTCTGCTCATTTTTTTCAATTGTCTTGAATCATAGGCTATCACTTTTCCATTCTGCATTAGTACACATCTCAATCCTCGCTTCGATGTGTCGCTGTATATAACAAACCCTTCCGTACCTTCAGGTATTAAATAATACAGGTGCTGATATCAACTTCGGCTTAAGTTCTTATAAACTTTGTTCGCATTTTTCTGTCCATTGGAATTTTACTCCCTTCCTTGTAAGTTGCGTCATTGGTCCAGCTATTTTGGAGAATCCTTCTATGAATCTCCTATA